TGTCATGGTTGTTTGTGTCTTGTGATCAGATCAAATGCTGCGTCCATAATATTACTTGGAAAGATGAAGGAGCTGCTTCAGACGCCACCTCTCTGTTCAGGCACTGCAGTGAAGTCACATTTACTTTGTTCTGCACTCGTCTCCTTCCTGTCAGCGTCTTTAACTATTTCAGTGTTAACGGCACTATCATGTATCATATACTGTGCACATTTACTGACTACAGAAGTACTGCCTGATGTGCTTAACTGAGCAAAGGCAGGTTTACTACGACGCACTTGTGCATCTCGGTTTGGCCTAATTGTGGGTAGAAACATGAAGCCAAGTGGAGGTAATTCTTCATCATCACGTGACGCTTACATGTAACATCCACTCTTTACTGTGACGCCTTACTTTCCTTAAACGATTCAGGTTCATCCTACTGAGTCACGCAGTAACACTGTCCTCCTCAGCTGGACAGTCTCTTTGTGAGCTTCCAAAAATAAAACTCGTCAGAATCATCAAATATCTGCCTCAGTTTGTTTTACCTCAGGATGAACAGAGAAAGATAAACCCAGTGGAGACAAACCTTTGCAACCACAACAACCCAGCAGCTCAGCCCAAAAATACGTTTTATTAATAGCAGGGTCGACGACGATGAAAGTCAGCGCAGCGAGAAAAGTCGCACAGTTTTAAAAACAGACCAAACAGCGACGTGCTCATTTCTAATCTTGGAATCACGGCTAATTTTATCTATAAAGGCAGCTCCTTCATCAGAAACGTGAAGAGCCGAGTGCTCAACACTTTAGCTCGGGGGGCTGCTTTCATGCGACGCGATTGTGTAAAAAAGAGATTTAAATTCCACACCTGGTGGGTGAATCTTATCTATACGTGGGTGCGTACCTGGTAGCGTTCGATGGGGTCTTCTTGTTGCAGCTGGCTCTCTCTCAGAGTCTGATATTCCTTCTCAAACTTCTTCAGCTTTTTGGTCGGGACCTGAAAACAACAGCAAAGTTAATTAAATCATCATTTTACTGTTGACTTTGTTTACTTGGCCTGATAAAAATCTCAGCCCATCCCAGTTGTTCGTGAGCTGGGGGAGGGGGGGGGAGCGTGGGAATAGGGAATTGGATAAAACAGTCAGCGGCTCTCAGCTCTTGCATCATCTTCCTGTGTCGTGGGAACCATCAGCTACTTCTCTCTGCACCAACGCTGCTCATGCCTTCGTTCCACGACAGGATTAAGCAGCAGAGGTCAAAGGTCAGAGTTAGGTGTCACGTTGAGAAACAAACCAACGGGGCTTCATGAAACAACATCCACGTGATGCGTCACGTGACATCAAAGCGATCAAACTCTGAACATCGCTGCCGAGCCGGTGCGGTGTTGTGGCTCGTGCTGCACGGTTTCTACTCTCTGTTGCTCCGTCTGCCTTTATCAGCGTTAATATCTGCTGCACATCTGCGTGTTGTTCTGCGACTTTCCCATGAGACCTCATTAGAAACAGGAAAAACAAACCAAACAAGCACCCGCTCGGCTCACAAGCTTTATAATGTCCTGCTATAAATCAGCAAGCGGTAACCGCGGATCAGAAACGTCCAGTTCACGCTGCATGCTGCACGATAGGCACGTTACAGGGGAACTGTGCTGTCACTGCACATGCTCAGGCCTCACTATGTGAAATCATTTCAGCAGTTTTGTTCTGCAAAACCAGTCACGGCAACTTGTAAAAAGCACCAAATCCATCATGAAATGGTTTCGATTCATTATCAGACTGAAGGTTTTAACAGACGCGACCTGCGATCAGTGAAGCTTCGAAGCATTACCTCGACACCAAGAGACGGCAAACACCACAGCTTTACTCACATAATTCACTACATTAGGTGTGTGTGTGTTTAGGTGGGTGGTAACAGCGTTGCCATAGCGCCAACTACTAGGGCTGGGGGGGTCACAGTCACATGACCCCCTCCTCTGAGACTCCTGTGTGTTTGTAGTCGTTGTGTATCCTCCACTGCTGCCTGTTTCACACACTGTGTTACACTGAAGCAGAATGAATGAAGCTAGCAGCGCTCACAGCCTCTGTAGGAATACTGTCAACTCCAGAAACAACCAGAAAGATAAAAGACTTCCTTATTTGTACTGGAGGACGTTGTTTAGTACAGGGAGTGCAGAAGCTATCTGGAGCACTGACGAGAATGCACTGTACATTTAAGATTGAATATTAGAAATGATAATATAGATAAAAAGAACAGCATCCAGTATTCTCTCTTCAGCTTCAACACTGCAAAATGTTTCTCCTGTAATACCGAAGCTGAGGTACAAGCGTTACGAGGAGCTCAGTGTTTGAACTACACTGTAAGTGCCCACGTCACAGTTACATCCTGGAAAATGAGCCAACACAGCGCAGCAGCGCAGCAGCTTAAGACAGGGATAAGAATCCTGCTGCACATTTCCATTAGGATTAAAAGCCAGAGGACGAGTTATTAAGGCCGCCCACCTGGGCAGTCATTACCTGTCCTTGCCAGTGACCTGCGAGTTGACCCTCGACTTTACGACTCGGGCATCGGCGAACGAGCGTCACGCTGTTATCTATGGGACATTCAATTCCCGAGCAGATAACGACAAAACGAGTCCAAAGCTGTTATCTGTGTGGGAAGAAAGAGCAGCCTGGCCTCTGCAGGCGGGTTAATAATCGCTTTATTGTAACAAAACAATGCAGATGTGCGGTTCTCCTGCAGGGCTGCCAGATTCAGCTCAACTACAGAGTCACTGTGTGGCCTTTTGGACGCCGCCACGCTGTCCAGTGTTTCTCGTTATGGAGTTTGACCCTGCGGGTCTGTGTGCGTTAGGCGAGTGGGCAACGATGAGCTGCTGCACGTGCATTTTTAAACAGCTGATGCTTCAGTGCAGCAGCGGCAGTTAGCTCCTCGGACGCGGAGTTTAAAACAATATTTAAAAAGAGCCTGCTTCCATCTCAGCTGATCTATACGTAAACCTCCTGATATGCAGCAGCCATAAATTATTGTACAAACACAATCTGTGAGAGAGAGAGGGTTTCAGCGAGGGAATGACTCATGCTTCCTGAGGTTTGCTGTTTTAAATAAACCTCCCTCTCTACTGTGTCGCATTCACTTTCCTTTATCGTCTCATGTCATCCATCCAGCCGTGCTCTATAACCTAATCTAACCAGTAACAAGCTGCACACACTCCAGGCTTCCTGCGTGCGATGGCGCCACACACGTTTCTGCAGGATGACTGAAGTTACACGGGCGCATTTATTCCGTCTTTACTGCAGTTTCTGCTCGTGTAACTATTCTGCATTTCCCTCTGCTCTCCTCATCTCACAGCGAGCCAGCTTCACTGTTAATAACGACTTCTGTTTCTTAACATTATCACTGAGTCAGCCAAACTATCATTGAAGAAATGCGTCTTACACTGCTGCTGTTACACACCCGCAAACACCCGTAAAACACACAAACATTACAACACACCTGTGTAATGAAAGCGCAGGCTTTGTTAGGCGCAGCAAGGCTTTCTTTAAACATCCAATCCTGCTGCAGCTACAATCAGCACCGCCGCCTCCATAACCTTTCAGCTTTCCTCGAATTGGTTTTATTATCATAAAAAGACGACATTCACGTACATGCTCCCAGCTGACTGTTTTCAGAGAAACAATTGAAACCATATTGTCCTTCACAGTGAGCCGAAGTGTGTAAAAGAACCCGTAAATCTTTCATCGCTCGCAGTATTAAAGTTTTACACTCCGTCATACACGCAACGCAGCACTTCGGCCTTATCAGCAGCTCTGTGCATATTCTCTGGCTTCTCAGGTGATATGCATGTGTGTAGTTATGCGTCACGCTCTATATTATGTGTTGTGTAAAACGGGCCAGAAGAGACATTTTTCACTGGCTGGAAACCTTTTCAGATGCAAAGAGCTCGACCACACGAGCGTGAGCGCAGGATGAGCCGAGCTCTTTCTCAAAGATCACAGAGACACAGAGACACAGGGACAAAGAGACAAAGGGACACAGAGACACAGGGACAAAGAGACAAAGGGACACAGAGACACAGGGACAAAGAGACACAGATTAACCTGGGAGACACAGAGACACTGAGACACAGGGACAAAGACACAAAGAGACACAGGGGAAAAAAACAGATTAACCTGGGAGACACAGGGACACAGAGACACAGGGACACAGAGACAAAGAGACACAGAGACACAGGGACAAAGAGACACAGAGACAAAGACACAAAGAGACACAGGGACACAGAGACACAGGGACACAAAACACAGATTAACCTGGGAGACACAGAGACACTGAGACACAGGGACAAAGACACAAAGAGACACAGGGGGAAAAAAACAGATTAACCTGGGAGACACAGGGACACAGAGACACAGGGACAAAGAGACACAGAGACAAAGACACAAAGAGACACAGGGACACAGAGACAAAGAGACAAAGAGACATAGCGACATAGAGACACAGGGACAAAGAGACAGAGACATAGAGACAAAGAGACATAGAGACATAGAGACACAGGGACAAAGACACAAAGAGACACAGGGGAAAAAAACAGATTAACCTGGGAGACACAGGGACACAGAGACACAGGGACACAGAGACACAAAGAGACACAGAGACACAGAGACACAGGGACACAGAGACACAGGGACAAAGAGACACAGAGACAAAGACACAAAGAGACACAGAGACACAGGGACACAAAACACAGATTAACCTGGGAGACACAGCGACACAGAGACAAAGAGACAAAGAGACATAGAGACACAGGGACAAAGAGACAGAGACATAGAGACAAAGAGACATAGAGACATAGAGACACAGGGACAAAGAGACACAGGGACACAGGGACATAGAGACATAGAGACACAGGGACATAGAGACACAGGGACACAGGGACAAAGAGACATAGAGACACAGGGACA